TAATCACATTATACATAGCAACATCTTTGCTATTGTAATCATTCCGGTTTTTACTCCCTGGCTTTATAATACTTATTTAACCAACGAATAAATGCATTTTTACACAGTCTTATTATAAAAAGTTATAGGTATGTTTTTTAAAAGCATCAGCAAAAGTCCCTTTATCATCTTTTTAAATTCTTAAAACAGTTGTCTTTAGATTATTTTAGCGTTCAACATTTTGTGTTCTTAGACCGTTTTTATGAGTAGTAATCAAAAATCAAAAAAATTGTCTGAACATTTATTTTTACTAACTATTTAATGTTAATTTTTTATATTATATGTATGTATATATTTTGTTTTTTTTTGAGCTGCGGTTGATATAGCTTGAACTAAATTAGATACTTATTAATATTGACTATTTTGGTTTTTTTTGTGGTGTGATTTCAGACATAGGGCTTAATTAAAACATAAAAATAAAATATTAATTTCAAATCATTTTATTGCATTTTAACATTTTGAAGCATGGTGGTATAAGTAATATAGTTTGAACTTTGGTATCGAAGACATAATTCTGGGTAAATAAAGTGTTTGAAAAAAAAAATCATTATGCATTTCAAAAGTGCTGTTATCCTATGTGCGTTGAACTTCGTGGCCATGTTACACATTTTACACTAACATGTTAGTACAAAATGTTTTATACTAACATTTTACATATGTTAGTATAAAACATAATAATACAACTTATAAATGCAATACAAATTTTTAAAAAATGATGGTAGATAATATTATCTATTGTTATTATCTACTTTTGATATTTTATAGAGCGTCGGAGTCAATATGGAACAAATCAAAACAATTATTGATTTAGTCAAAGAACATAAAAACGCTATAGACCAAATTACCCCAGAAAAATTCAAAGAATAGTTAACGGAATTGGGCGTAGAGGATGTGACAGGTTTTACATATAAAGCAGGTAATAAAGTATCTTTTAAACAGCGTTTAAACTTTACGATTGTAATCAATTTTTACATTATCCCACTAAAAAAAAAAATATCACAAGAAATAATATTCGTCCAGCACTTACTAATTTTTCAATTTAACGGACTCGTCTTGTGGCTAGCTCGATTCAAATATGCTTAGAATTGTATTTTTAAATATAGGTACGAAAGACGGTCGAAAAGTACAGAGTGTTATGGTATTTCTGAACCAGAAACAATAAGACATCAGACGACTAGAAAGTAATAAAAAAACATTTTTTTTTAAATTTGTAATTAATCCATTTTTTTTATTTTCACACACAAATTTTACAAAGATCCTAAGATTATCAACCTACGAAGTAACAATTTTTTTGAGCTTGTTCAGACATCATGACAAAATAGAAGGCGATGACGATGGTCTAGTTAACTCCGTGGAATTACAAAATATCATTAAAGCTTTAAGTTTAAACGACGAGCAGAAAAAAAGTTTAACCGGAAAATTCGAAAGTGTTGTTGAGTTAACGAAGTAGTTAATTTTATTCCTACGGTTTGATATTTTTATATTAATTTTCATAGGAAACAACGCAATTAACTTCGCGGAATTCTTATATGGCTTTTTGAAAGTAAAACCTCAAGTAAGGATTTATGGTATTGTTAAAGGCTTGATAAAGTACACATATAATTATTCTTTTGCCTGGCATAGCATTTAAAATGTCTAAAAAAAATATATTTTGTAGATTTTTCGCGCATTAAAGCATTAAAAAAAAGTCAAACTACACTTAATAAATTCATGATTTAAATATTTGTTTATTGGGCAAAGGTCTAGACATGAAACAGATTGCAGTTCTGAGCAATATTAAAAAGCACAATATAAATGGCGATTACATTCAACCTGATAAAATAACAGAGTTTATTAAAGGGTTATCTATAGTTAAGGACCAGGATGAGAATCGGGTTTCTGAACGCTTTCGTAAGAATATATTTTTAATATTAACTCGCTGGTTATTAATATTGTTCTATGTAGAGTTGGCAAAACAACTGGTTATCTGTACGAAGCAAAGAGTCAAAAATTATCTTTTATTTAATCATGTTACACATGTTTATTTGTATTTATAAAATAATTGTTATTTAATTTAGATGTATTTAATTACTTATTTGAAGTTTTTCAACTTTGATTCAACTAGTATATTTTAATAAAACAAAAAATGTATTTAATATTTTGACCATAGAGAACTATGCTTTGTAGTTTCAAGAGCAGGAGGTTCTTTTAGCAGAATACAACAAAACGACTAACAAAGAAGTAATATTTATAGTTTTATTTCGATTACGTTTTGTATACTTTTATCAGGACCACTCTTCATTTATTGTAGTAGTTAAGTATAGGAAATTGTTCGCAAAGTCATATTTTTAAGTTGATTGGCTATAGTTTTTTGTTGCCAGGCTATCACGGTAATTTCTTTAAAAAACCATTATAATTTTTCAATGAATATAGTTTTGCGCGAATCAAAACTTAAACTTTAAAAACGTATAGAAGACAAAATTATCGGACCTATCAAAAAATTATAATAGATAATATGCTGTTTTATTTTTTTTATGCAAATTCGGCCAACTCAATGCTATCACACTACAAGTGGATAGCACCATCGTGTGCACTACGAAATCTAATAACGTGCTTCATGAATTACTGTGTTGATTTTTCAGGTTGAAACCGTCTATGATACCGAACGTGTAAGAGCATAAAATGGGGTTGATTTCTTGACCGTCGTTCCGGGTGGAATCTTGCAATTCAAAAAGACTTATTTTTCACCCGCCAGCAAAAATTATGAGTGGTGCGTTTGGGCGTGAACGGTGCTCAGATACGAGCGGTACCAGGTTCAAACCCGTTTTCATCATTACACTTTTTTGCATTTTCTTACAACTTTTATTCAACTTTTATGATAATTTATACAGTAATAAATCTAAAATTATAAGCTTTTAAATTGATTACTAATTCTTATGATAATCCTTCTAACCATGCAGCCTTTTCTATAACATGTTATAAACTTTTTATAACATTGTACATTTATAATACGTCCATACGAAAACGAAAAAGAACAAAATAACTAAAGTAGATTAAAAAATTAATCTAAAAATAACGTTTTTATGCGTCTTAAAAAGTATAAAATAACCCTCCAGGGGTCTTGATAACCAAATAGGACAGATAAACTAGAAAAACGTGGGGCGCATCTTTACTACTTCACACGTCTGAATATATAATAACATTCTCTTCTTATTAATAACTACCTTAATTCATAATTCATGCACAATCATCTTTTCTCTTCTAAATAAAATAATACTTAAAATTGAGCACCACATTACTTTAAATGTTAAGCAAGTAGGTAGTTAACAAAAACATTGAAGCAACCTACATAAAACAATCTTTGGAGAGAATAGCAATTAAGTCTTTTCAATTTTCAATGAAATTTAAGGCAAGTGGCACGGAAATCCATTAAATTTCATTCCCAAAAAAAAGTCATACTATCACTTTCTGATCCGTTCGGTTAGAGAGACAGCATTATGAGAGACAACTTAATGCATTAGCATGAAAGCTTAGGTTTTAATATCTAAGTAGAAAGATGCGCCACACATTTTTCTAGTTCACCTGTCCTATTTGGTTATCAAGACCCCTGGAGGGTTATTTTATACTTTTTAAGACGCATAAAAACGTTATTTTTAGATTATTTGTTTAATCTACTTTATTTTCTATTTAGACTGTAACGCAACGGAGTGTATGAGTGATTTAACAATTATTATGAAAAGTTTTATCAGAAAATGGTTAAAATGTTGAAGTATATTTAGAGACAAAATAAAATAAATTTTTTAACTAAAAATATTTTGCTTTACAGCCGACCTTTCTTTTGACATTCTGGAGTTATTCATGATGATACTTACGGAGAAAGAAGCTGGTCTACCTAACAAATATATTTTTTGAGTGTTTTAATCATAGATAATAAGTTTTAAGTTTGATGTTTTATGACTATTTTCAAAGCTATATAGTTTTCTTTGTCATATATTTTAATTGTCTTATAATATTTTAGAAGTAATTTTACGATGAGTTATAATCGAAAACCATTGAATAGTTCTAATTTAAAAATAAAAAAACTCTAGAAAAAAAAAACAAATGTGTTCTTTAAGTGACGATAAACTTAAGTGTCTCTCATTTCTCAAAAGAAAAACTACAAAATGTACAAAATGTTAAAGAGTATTTTATCCCTAACTAATATAATAATACAGGGTGATTAATAAAGGACAAGTCACTTGTTTTAGTTCTTTATTCTCAATTAATCACTCTATATTATTTAAAAAATGTATAAAATATAAACGTTACCATTTAAATAGCTATTAAGTACATAAGGTTTTAAAACTTAAGGGATGGTGTTATATCATTAAGAACTATATCAATATTGGGCGACTATTTAACTGTAACTGTAAAAAAAAAGATTTATTTGATTAAGTCTTCTACTTTTTAATTAAAAATTCTCAGAGACCATCGGTGGACAAACGACTATCGATTGGTTTATGAAAAAAATTTGGAATTATATTTCAAAACATTTTTTAAATAAATTTCAACTTATTTTTTTATGCCTTAATGAGAAACGTGAAAGTTATGTTTTTCTTGTTAAATTAATTTAATGCTAATACACCATATATGGTAGTTTATTATTTTTCATCTTATGTCATCCGGTTAAGAATTATCATGTTAAAACGCCTCAAATCTAACTATGAATATTTTAGCAGGATTTCCGCATCCCTTAAATAAATGTTATCACGTAGTATAGTGTGTGGAATTTTTTTTTTTTTAACAAACAAACAAACAATATTATATGAATATTTAATAATATGCATCGTTCGCTACACTGTTTTTTGTTTCTATGTAATTTAGGTACAGCAAAAAAAAATATATATTGTTATATTATTTCACATAAGTAAATAGTAGTTTTATTAGAACAACACTATATTTACAACTGTACATTTTGGTCATAAAAATAAGTCTATATCATATGTTAATAAAATAAAAACAAGTACATTTTCCATTTACATACTTATGTTGTTTTTATCATATAGAATACAACTTGAACCGAATTAAACACCACTGTTCATCCGACTTTGGTATCGAAGACGTACTTTTGTTTTAACAAAGTGTTTGAAAAACAAAACCATCATGCAATTCAAAATTGCTGTTATCCTCTGTGCTTTGTACTTCGTGACCATGACACAAGTTAGTATAAAACATAATAATACAAATTATTATTGTACTTATGATCCTTTATAGAGCATCGGACTAAATATATTTAAAGTTAGAACGATTATTGATTTATTCAAAAAACACAAATCCCATGAAGACCAAGTTTCACCAGACGAAATCAATGAAATTTTTAAAAATATGGGCGTGCAGGATATGACAGGTTTTACATACGAAGCAGGTAATAAAGTATCTTTTAAACAGCGTTTTTCAATTTAACTCACTTGTCTTTGCTAGTTCGATTAAAATATGTTTAATGAATTTTATTTTTAAATATAGATATGAAAGACGGTCGAAAAGTGCAAAGTGTTATGGTATTTCTGGCCAAAAACAATAAGACCTTTGACCACTGGATGGTACTTACCAATAAAAAAAATATTGAAAAATTTGTTATTAATCTATTTTTTTTTAAATTTCACACACCATTTTTTACATAGATCCAAAGTTTATCAACCCACGAAGTAACAATTTACTTGAGCCTGTTCAGAAATCACGAAGAAAAAAAAGGCGATGCCGATGGTCTGGTTAACTCCGAGAAGTTTCAAAATATCATTCAAGCTTTAAGTTTAAACGACGAAGAGAAAAAAAGTTTGGCCGATTATTTCGAAGGTAATGTTGAGTAAACAAGGCAGTTAATTATATTCCTACGGTTGATAATTTATATTAATTTTCATAGGTTACAGTGCAATTAACTTCGCGGAGTTCTTATATGGCTTTTTGAAAGTAAAACCTCTAGTAAGGATTTATGGTTTTGTTAAAGGCTTGACTTAATAATAAAAACATCATTTTAATATTTGTTCATAGGGCAGAGGTCTAAACGTGAAACAGATTGTAGATCTGAACAATATTAAAGATCACAAAATAAATGCCGATTACATTCAACCTGATAAACTAACAGAGTTTATTAAAGGGTTATCTATAGTTAAGGACCAGGATGAGGAATGGGTTTTTGAACGCTTTCGTAAGAATATATTTTTGATACTATCTCGTTTGTTATTAATATTGTTCCATCTAAAGTTGGCAAACTAACTTTTTATCTGTAAGAAGCAGACTAACTAAATTAATCGGGAAATTTGTCATCTATAAACAATGAATAAATAAATTATGTTTTATTTATTAAGTTTTAAATGATATTTTCGTTTATTATGTTTTATTTATTAAGTTTTAAATGATATTTTCGTTTATTATGTTTTATATATTATTTATGAAATATTAAGATTTATTATATAATTGTGTTAATGTTTTTTAAATCTGATTCTATGTGTAATTTGAAATAAAATTAAAAATATATTCAATATTTATACTATAGAAACGGCTGCTTTTGAGCTGCAAGAGCTGATGGTTTTTTCAGCAGAATACAACCAAACGGACAATGCAGAAGTAATATTTATAGTTTTATCACGATTGCTTTTTATATTTTTTGATCAAGACGCACTCGTCCATTTATTAAATGAGTAAATTATAGGAAATCGTTCTCAAAGTCTTAATTTAGAGCTTCAACTATAGTGCATACTCATTAATACAGCAATAAGACTTGTTCATTGGCTATAGTTTGTTTTGTTGTCAGGCTATCATGGTAATTTCTTTAAAAAATCATTATATTTTTTCAATGAATATCGTTTTGCGCGAATCAAAACTTAAACTTTAAAAACGAATACAAGTCAAAATGATTGGATCTACCAAAAAATTATAATAGATTATTTGCTTTTCTATGCAAATTCGGTGTAGCATCTTGTTGTACACTACATAATCTTAAGATGTGCTACATGAATTACTTTGCTGATTTCTCAGGTTGAAACCGTCTGTAATACCATTGAGGTTAGACGAGTTTTAGCAACATTCGTTGTGTTCGATAAAGACCATGACGGCTTACTCAATGGAAATGAACTAGAGAAAATGGCACTCGAGCATTTCAGTCACCTAGACGTTAAATCTATCCTTAAAGATGGCGTTGCCGATGGTAATATTGCAAATTATAGCGTTAACCAAAACGGCTTATTTGTTTTAAACAACTATCATAGTGATCATGAGCATAGTATAAGATCTAGGCTTATGTTTCCACAATAAATATGATATTATAGTGGGCAAAATGTTGAAGTAACACTAAAGAACTAAAATATACTTTTAACTAAAAATACTTTACTTTTCAGCCGACAAGAGTCTTGACATTGTGGATTTATTCATGGTTATATATAAGGTTTATGACACTAATGTTACCAATGAGTGAACGCTAAAAAGTTGTACGAGTTTTTTCTAAATTGAATATTATACTAAATAATTTACCTACGAATATTTTTTGGGAGTGCTTTAAGTATGGGTTATAAGTTTTAAATTTAATGTTCTATTATTCATTTACACGTGTATTTTAATTATTTAATGATTTTAATAAATATACAACAATAATAATCCATATTGATAATATAAGATACGATTATTTAAGTTTGTTTATGTCAATTCATTAAACGATTAAATAAATAATGTAATTCCGTAAAAATTGTTTTGTTTTTATTTCGAAATCATTATAATTAAATCGAATTGTATAAAAACACAGCGGAAAAAAATTCAATGAACCCTGTAAGGTATCAAGTGGATCACTTTACGAAAAAACCACACTGTATAATATTATTATACTGTTTTAAACCAATATTGTGTATCACTGCGGCTAAACCTCGGATACACCTCGGATACACCTAATCTAACACGCAACGCAATGTGTGTACTGTATTTACTGATGAAATAAAACGCACGCTTATTACTCATGCAACACATTTTACAAGAGTAAATAAAACGGTGACCATTAAGTCATATGCTGCTACATCGTATGTAAATAGCCCATCTGCCCATAAGTAGCTTTAAGATAGTTTTTAAGCACTTCAAAAACATAATTTTCTATTAAAATGCACGACAGAGGTTGTGGTCAGAGGATTTCTTGAGAGGACACTCAGATTGATGAAACAGACAGCGTTTCACAAACATTAACTTTAAAGTACACAAATAATGTAATATTAGACAAGACGAATTTGGACAATAATAAAAATAATATCAAAAAGCTCAAAACGTACATAGACAAAACGAAATAATCTTCTATGCCAACTGATACAATATTTTTCATGAGATTCTTCATAAAATTGTTCGACAACAAAAGCTTTTGGATCGATAAAGAGTGGACGAATTACTACGAATAAACGAATCATTTTTAATCGAATTTTTCAATATAATGTATTTTTTTCCCAGGTCTCTAAAATTTGACAAAACAATATAACATTTTTACATTGATGCAATTTCAGGACTAAGGTGGGGGACCAGTGATAACTGTCCAAAAGCTTACATTTTAAGGTTTAATTTTTTTAGTAAAAGATTTCTAGGGTATGACCTATTAAAATATTTTTAATTCAAACTTGCAGAGTTTTGGGCCAGCCCAGAAATTGTGCCAACGACAATATAGGTATTTTATATCGCTCCAATCAAATTCCATAGACAAGTAATTGGTTAAGTTTCGTTGATTGTTTAACATTCATATTTTATGTTTTCAAAATATATTTAGCATATTGTATACATTGACAAAATCATTTTAACATATCTCATTGAGTTTTGTCACGGGTACGGTGTGGCGCAGTGGATACCGCAGCTGCCGCAAGGCGCCTGAGGTTAAGCTGCGACCGGTACCGCTTGATCCCGGATGGGTGACCACCCGGGTTTTTTGCGGCAAACCACACCAATAGGCCGACCGGTAAGGACCAAGTTAGCTATGATCCCGGTCAAAATAAGTCCACATGACATTATTATTGAGTTTTGTCGAGTACCAACGTGAAATATGTATTTCATTCTTAAGATTTGTTATTATCATACAATTTGTATTTCTTCTTTTAACAGTTTTACCTATATAACTTATTATAACTCATAAGTTATTGTGTATGCCGTCGCAGTAACTTATGAGGTATAATAACTTATATAGGTAAAACAAATTATAGTAAGTTTTATGAATGTATATTTAAATAATGCTCTAAAATGTGTATCAAATACATAGAAAGCGATTTAAATAACAAATTGACGTGGTAGACAAATATTATGAGACCATATTCGGACTTAGAGGAAATAATCCTAATAAATATATGATGTCTTTGAATTCTTTTACACTGCGAAAAAAATGATACAATTTCGAACGTACAAATTGCTGCGTTATGTTATCATCAGTAATAAATGTACTTGACAACAGAAATTAATAGCTACAATAACAATAGCATTAGGTACCAATAGTATTGTGTGTGTACAAAATATGAGCCATTACGGTATTTAAATTTTAGGTACCTAAATAACAAATTTACCGTTCAGCTCATCCAGAGGTTATAAGCTGAATAATAACACATACACTAAAACGGATAAAATGTTTTTCCATTCAAATTTTTATTATATAAGACCTCTACAATTGTGTTGGACATAGACTTCACTTCGGTTCATAGCAATTTAACAATCGTATATTTTCTTTTAGGTAGGAATATATTATATTTACTAAGCATTTGATGGCAAAATTTACTCTTGCACGCCCTGAACTCGGGAACAACTGTAATACAATACAATTTCAAATGTAGCAACCGCGGACTGATTTATTAACGTTGGTGAAAATGTGAAAATGTGTTCGACGTTGATTTTTAAATATTGATTTTAGTCGCTTACCGAACACGAAGAACACGGCTAAGTCTCAACTATAAAATTAGTACTATAACTAATCCAAACCTAACCACTTGCGAATAATCTAACCGGAAAAATTAAGTGGCAAAAAAAAATTTGGACGTTAACTAAAAATCATGAACATGCAACATGGTTATCTGGCAATTTGGTTCCTCGTCGTTTTCGTTATCCAAGGTAATATGAATTGAATTTTAAACGTTTTTCTAGTGATTTAAAAATATATGGTAATAAAATAATTTGCAAGTCGATTTAGAGAAAAGAATTAAATAGTATGAAAAAAATGATTTAGCTTACTGCACATTGGTCGACAATATTATATATTATGTCCTTGTGTTATTTTGTTTAAAAAAAACACTTAACCATAAATACTTTTGAAGTATTCTTAAAAGCAATGTTAAGGAAAAAATGTGCTTAAAATTGTATTTTGTTTTTCAGGGTAGGCACTATTTGAACTGGATTTAATTGAACTATTTATACATTTTTATATTTTATTAGGTTCTGCAATTCAGGTCACTTTATTTTCTGATTAGTTTTTTTGAATAGTTTGGGTTTGAACTTGGTTTGGCAAGGGCCGCCGCATTAATTTTCTAAACTATAGTTTTTATAGTTTAAGAAAAATAAAATTTGACCAATACGAATCTTTCTTAAAACTTATCAGTTACTATAAATAGTTTAGTTAAATCCAGTTAAAATCCACCCCACGTTCCAATCTGCCATATCCTCCCCTATTATGTATTAAGAATATTTCCATATAAATTTGTAAGTGATTCGGCTGTTTTTAAAACTTTAATTTTAGTATTTTACCACATAACAGTAAATCATTTTGGCTTATATTTTTATTTGTACTTCAATAGCCTACAAAAAAATAACAACAAATTTATCTAGTTCAAAACTAGTTTTAACCTGAATTTCAAAACATTTTTTTAAATTGACACTTATGTAAGCATAAAGTACTTTGTATAACCTATATTTTTTTATAATAAGCTCACAACTAGTATCAGTTATTGTACATTTTTTTTATACAAATAAAAAATATTAAGAAAACTTGATTTTCGTTTGTAAATTGCTTAAGACTCGAGGTGATTTTATATTACATAAAAAATATATCTACATAAATATTATTATATGAACACTATGAATGCAACCACACCCATGTATAAACAATATTATGTATACATATTTTTTCCACTGACATAGTTGATTCATTTGTATTTATTTTTATAAGACATATTTGGGTCAAAGGGGATTAAACATATGTACTTCTTAAATGTCTTTACATTAGACTGGAGACCCTAATGATTTTATCGGATCCACTTTCAAGTACCTTTTCAAATACCGATATCGTTATGGGTTGCGTTCCTAAAAAATAAGAACCGGTTTCACTTTGGTTGGGGTCTTAAGTCATTTGCTTTTTTCTTCGGCTTTAAGTTTGTTTTTAAAAATGTAAGCCAATAAACAAATTTCATTTAAATATAGATCATTCTTTATTCTAATGGGGACTGCATGCGGTCGGGTTTTATTTACGTTTTAGACCAAAAAGCCAGACAAAATGTCGACTGTTAAGATAGTAAGTTTTTGGCAATTTTACTAGGTTATCTAGGAAACAGATTTTAGATTTTTTGCTTTTTTTATGTAAAAAATTCTGGTTTCAACATTGCAATTATTATAAATTTAATTTATTTAGTTACAAGAAACTGAAATTTTTAAATGAAAATCTATTTCCTACATAACATAGTAAAGAAGCCAAAGAACACGATTCGCTTTACAAAATTAAAATTGGACCATCCTATATCGTCGACTAAAGTCAAATGTGTCTGGCTTTTTGGTCTAAAATATACCTATAAATGGCTGTTACTCATAAAAAAAAATGATTTAAATTAAAAATGATAACTTGAAGCTTATACAAATTAACCTGTAAATTAATTGAAATGGTTGGAATATATGAAAACATTTTTTTTCTTAAATATTTCCTACAGTAATTTCTTTAAAAACAGACCGGATGCAATCCCCACAAGTATAAAAGACTTTTGCAAAGTATATTATTTCCCGAATAAGCCTAGCAAGTGTAATAGTAAATACAATCATCACAACAGTCTCGTTGAGCCAAAATAATAATTATTATAAATATACATCAGCCCTAAATAAATCCCATTATGGCTTACTAGAAAAGCTCCAAATCAAAAGCAGTAGTAAACATAATTATTATATTTTATGGCAATTTATTGAAAATTATAATGTTATAATTATCGGTAAATAAAAAGTTGTTTAATTGAAGAATGCATCATGTGCGGATCAAAATTATTTCTATTTCTTTACCATACAGCATACTACTTATAATTATTTCGATTTCTTAATTTTGGATTTTGGTTTAAATCAACAAAACCGTTTACTATAGCCAAAATGTTTGTACATTTTTCTTAATTTACTATAAAAAGTATAAACATATATTTTATCGACGCGTAAGATTGAATTGAAAATCTATTCAATTGCTGTTAAAACGAAACCGTTTTTGTGTTTACTGCAGTTGTTGTCGTTGTAATTGTTCTTATTTGTACAATTTTTTCGAATACAAAAATATTTCACTGAAAAAAAAATTTGTTTTGTTCGATATACTACCAATAATTTTTAAAACATTGTTGTTTTCAAGTTGCCACAGTATTTTTTGTCCTTGAAAAATATTTTTCTGTTAGAATAAATATAAAACCAATTTTACATGTAACAGATTTACACTTAACAGTAAAAAAACTACGGTTTAAAAAAATCAAATAAAGAAAATTTATCCGCCACCTAAAAATGTCTATTGGTGATTTTCATTTTTATTTAAAACCTTTTGAAAATTGTATAATATGATTTTATCATTTTCGTTACTTCTTTAAATAATAGTTGTAAATATTTTCTTACTCAGAAGCGTCTTAAATTATTTTATTGTAAGCTAAGAGGAAAACATATTTTAGTGAGAGATATTCCATGCTATTGTTTAAACAATTACTTGTAAGTCATACACCAATGCACTAAATAAGAAATGTATCGAAAACCAAAAACAACATCTTTAAAATTGATCTAGTTATGTTATATTTTGAAGTCTACAAAGGTTACACGATTTTGATTATATGATCACTAAAATTTTTTATTAGATTTTAAAAAATTATTATCAAATAAAAACCTTAAAAAAGGATTTGATTGTCTTATAGATATCTTATTGATAAAGGCGATTTTTTGTTTTTGTACGACACGGATGAAGATATAAGACAATTGGCTTGGCTTAAAGTTATTTTTCTAAGAAAGGTATTACATTTTATATTTTAACAGCTTGTGTACGAGTCCGCAACACCACGGGATACATTTTTATGCCTCGTTTTGCAGAGCACTGTCCGCTCCTTTTTTTCCGCCTCGATTCTGAAGCCTTGATACCATTCAAAATATTTTTCGTTGCTAACCCAAAATAAACACTTGGTTTGTGACAATGGTAACCACGGTACTCGAATGGTAGGTGATGATTAATTTTATGTTGTGGCCAAAAGTTTTTTAGTAGTATTTTAATAATTGGCCTTAATGGATTTATTAGACGTTCACTTGGCTAGTTATTTTGAATCAATTCATTAACCATTAATTTAAGTTTGTTCGTTGTGAAAACAACACATAATTAAAAAACTTTAAAATCTCCTCCCCATCCTCATCCCTACCACAACCCTATGCTCGACCTCATCCTTGACCTCATCCTCATCCTAGACCTTATCCTCATCCCCATTTCCACCCTCATCCATATAACCACCCCTACCCTAACCCATCCTTCATCTCTAACTCACCCCCTAACTCTCACCCTATCTGTCAGCCCCTATTTTTCACCCCTATCTCCTCCCCTTATCTCTCATCTCTCTTATCTTATTAGATAAATCAGCTGATTTTTGTCGTTATGGTAACCGGTGTCGGTGTCGATTTTTTCCGGTTGTGTTCTAAAGTAAAAACTGTATCTATTATCTCTTATCTTTCTTATCTCTCTAATCTAAACAGATAAATCAGCTGTTATTTTTCGTTATGATAACCGGTGTCGGTGTCAATTATCCGTGTGTGTGCCATAGCAATTTTTTCAGCTATTCATAATACATATATTATTTTTTGAAATATTAAAAACACATCCTCAACCATTCAAGGATATTTTTGAAACTGATAACCGTTTTTTTTAATTAGAAAAACACCTTTTTATGAATAAAAGGTAAATTTTAAATTTGATACAAAATTCAAATTCGAACTCGCTTGACTTTAAAATTTGGAGAGATAATAATTTCGATTGCCTTGTTTGAGAATACTCATAGAATTTGATAGACTATGATTTTAACGATATGAAAACAGTAAATTGAAGACATTTTATTCTCCGAATAACTGGCTTGCAAGCTTTAAAGTCAGTATAGCGCAACAAACAAAAGACGTTAAAGTATATTAAAGCCTGTTTAAAAAAATGTACTTACCTAGCTACGAATTATTTACTTGATTTATGTTAGAAAAAAAACAACATGAAACCAAAATCCAAATTTATGAAGTACATTACTAATTAAAATAATTCCGTAAAGTCTTCGGTAACCAATAAGTATTATAATATTACAACGTATTACAGGGTTTCGATTGTATGATCCAAATGTTTCCTATGAAGTATTTCTTCTAGAAGAACAAGCAAAATATGAGCAAATAACTGATAACAAAATTACTGAAATTGTAGATCTTGCAATGGCTAAAAAAAATTTTCCGAAAATAAACCGTATGGCCGTTGTTTTTATTTATTTTTAACCATTTTTTATATGTTTCGTTTGTATTTATGTTTTTGTTCACTATGGAATGTTATATGATATGTATTTACATATATAAATAACACGATGAACACTTGATCGTGAGCTACTCCATATCTTATAGGGTTTAATAAGAAATTTGATTTTTTTGACATTTTCATGTCTTAGCCCTGGCACATAACCGAAAAAAGTGTTATTTACTTAGTGTTACCAAAAAAGCGCAACCACACGGAGATGGGGTTGGGAGTGAGAAAGGGGATGGGATGGGGATAAAGATGGGATTGAGGGTGGGAATAGGGATGGGGTGGTTAATGGGGTTGGGGTTGGGGTGGAAGATAGGGGTAGGAGATAGGGGGTAAGATATAGGAGATAAGAGATATGTTGTACGTTAGACGTTCAAATTAGAATTAAATGATAAATTAAAAATAGTTTAAGGGCCCAAATTCTCTATGAATTGTTTTAAGTTAGATATTAAACACTACAATATTAGCCAGGAACTTGATGTTTTAATATACCAGCTTGTTACTGCTTCTTAATATACTATATCATTATCTATGTCCTATGATTCCACCACTACTCTAAGTTTATTCGGTACTTCAGCGAGACATGAAAATGCTCTTTCGTGGTTTTTGAAACTTTTTGTTTCAAAAGTTGCTATGAAAAAAACTAAGTTGGGAGGGGAGTGAAAGCAAAAAAAAAATTATGAAAAATTGTAGATCGCATTATACAAAAACATTATAAAACAAAAAAAATTAAATTTCTTATTAAACCCTATGAGATATTGAGTGGTTCACGATAAAATGATCCCTCTGTATATATATGAATATATATTATAAAGTTTGCTTTCATAATGAACTGCTGAAGAACAGTAAACGCTGATAATATAATTTTTGTAAGATAAAATATTAATAATTCCTTATATTTCAATAGGTAAAGAAATCGTCATGTTTTTTCATAGTGCAAATTTTGACGTGAAACGCGCTAGTACCATGATATTCAAACATTATGAATATCGGCGACAATTGCCACAAATATTTCACAGCCAGGATGAAGATCCAGAAATAAATGATTTAGACGAAGTCAAAAAAGTCGTGTAAGCAATAATTATGTAAAAATGTACTTGTACGGCATAAATAATACCACAACCGTTTTACAAGTTATAATAATAATAATTTTCGTTCCCACACAGTTATTGATACTCGCTGCCAAATTATATATGTAAAAAACTACATTCACAAATACTATCTTGACCTATTTTTTTCACATTTAACGTTTGAGTATTCCCTTCAAATTGGGCCCAGCCCCACACTCTATATCGCTTGCATTCCACATTGTTTCTACAAAAGTTGCGGTTTCAGTTGGACCAAAGTTCTAATAAAAAACATTAATGATTACACGAATAGTGCCACCATAATTATTTACCCATCATCGTATAAATACCTGTGTTTTTCTAAAGTGGCTGCACTGAAAATCGCAGCCCTTGTAGAATCAATGTTTTAATGAAATGGCTCCTCTGTATAATTTTATGAGTCAGGATCTCATGCGCAATCATGTGTGTTATTGTGTAGATATTAACGATGGAAGAAATACAGATTTTGAATCTAAGTAGTTGTATCTACATTGCAGCCAAATCTGTTCTATGCCTCATTCAGAAAGGTTCATGTTTATGTTTCATTCAGTAACTGGCCAAGTGTTAAGCAATACAAATAAAAGAGCAGCGTTGCTTATGAAAATAGGAGTGAAGTGAAGTTATGAACTAAAGAAATAGCAGACTTGACCACAATGTAGATACTACACTACTTTGATAGGCTGACTTTTTTGGAACGGGGTCTGAAACAAGGCCTTTTTTCACTGTTAGAATTTTGTTGGAGATACTCAGTTCTAAAAGAGAATAACCAGCGCAGAAACCTAAACAGTTTTTCTATAACTAGAAAATAACAATATTTGTTCATTATGCTGTATAGGCACAAGTTAGGTATAATAATAAGAGCTATAATTTATGTATGTGAATACTATATAATATTCATGTTTTATAATGATACCTATTGTTTTTCAGGAGTTGTTCTATATTGTTTAGTGATTCAGATTTGTATACACCTAATGATCGTTACGTATACACGCAATTGATAAATACCAATGGTAGCGAGTATAACTTTAAGAAGACCGTCAAATACTTTTTTTTCATGATAAAATGTTTACTCATAAAGTACGGAACGTTTGACGGTCTTGTTGTGGTCTTGGACGGAAAAGGCTTCAATAGAGGTCACATTAAACCATTCGTGCAAAGTGTACTTCTAGGCAGAACTTTATTGCATCTCATACAAGTACGTACAATACATAGTGTAAAAATATATAGAGCTGTAACACCGTGTAATGTTCTGTACGCAGCAACAAAGTAATCAAGTAGGCGACAGCGTGACCAGTTTAAATGAAAAATACATACTTTTTTACATAAGTTGTTAAACACTGCACAGTATAATCACATATCAGATAAAACCAGATGGCGCACTTCCTATTCAAGCAATGTAATTCCCTAAAAATATAAACAATCAAAACTCTCCTCAAATACGTGTTAACACTGATAGAAAAAAAAGACTTTATGAGAAATTATTGTTTCATAAATACGCATCACTGAATTTATTGACTGTTATTGTTGAATGCCGTAGTGGGCATGTGTGACGAAGTGCACCATCCGGTTTTGTCTAATATACGCACAGATATCTATATACTAAAATCGTGAAAAATGGCCGAGTGCAGGTTGGACACTTGACTGGAACAAAAATCCTAAAACGCGGTTGGTACCGCCGAACGCCCTATGGCCCGAGTGCGCGCCTTCTTCTTATATATTCTATCTTTTAAGTTTTATATCGATTACTTATCGTTTGACTATTATTAAAATCATTCGTTTATTTCCATCACTAATTAACTCATGGATTATTATGTATTTTACATTATTGTTTGATTTTAAAAGAATGCTCCACCGTTGCGGATAAAAAAAGTTTACATTGTGAATACAAATGACTTCGTAAATATAGTATATTCAGCCGCCTCCAGGTTGGCGTTATATGAAGATTTTCGTCAAAAGGTAAGCTTCGAATTAGTAATTAAATGAGAGTTTCATCACAGAATGAACAGAAGAGAAGATGTCGGCCATTATTTTATCTCGATATAAAAGAGCCAATGTAAATTTGTATAGTTTCTTTTCTTTTTATTCTGTGTTTTTATAACTAATAATATTTTATCATAAGTATGAATAATGTAATATTGCATTAACGGTAGATTGTACTTTGCGATGAAAAAAATTCGGAACGGGTTTTCGATCATGTCCCCAGAGAAATTATGCCTGCTGAATATCCGGGAGGGAAAGGGCCAAGCCATACAGTCCAAGCCGGTAACTATAATAAGGGTGTTTTATAATTATTCAAAATACTTGAAATACTTGATTATTTTAAAATATTTGATTTTCAGCAAGAACATATGAGCTTATGCGAAATTTACATAATAAATATAGATCATACGCTGATAATGCACCATCATCAAGTAGCCCAACGGGCCCTAAAGCCCCAAATTCGAATTCGAAAGCCGGTCCAAGTGGCCAGTCCGTCACCGGAGAGGATTGAGGATTTATTTGTATTAGAGTTAAAATTATAGTAATTATATCGGTAATAGTACCATCAGTTAGCCAACTTAAATTGTATAATTTTTATAACAATAAGCTAAGTAATGATTACTAAAGACTACAAGTAATATTTTTAAACAATTAACAGTAGAGCAAATAAAAAATAAATAACTAATTATTGTATTCTTTTAGCGATAATTATGATTTAAGTTTCGATGCGATAGCTCAGAAAATAATAGTTTTATAATTATGAGTTTTCGTTTGTGTTTAAATTCACGATAAATTGTTTTCCTAAATATGGTTTTATTGTTTTTTTTTTTTAACAACTATCCTGTGAATGTAACAGTAAAGTAGCAATGAATTCTGCACATAAAATATTATTAATAAACACAAACGATGCATGCAAGTACATGTTTTATACTTACATTCTTTTTTATAATTGCATATTAGGGCGTTTATTTTAAAAACTAGCTAAAAACAATTTTCACAAACAACAAATAATTTCTTTAGATGGGTGGTTTTAAGACCAAGATTTTCTCAACACATTTTGAATATTAGTTATAATCGTTATTTGATATTCAATAATAGTTTTACATATCGTATAATACATTGTGTCCACTTAAAAAAAAGTTTTCAAAATGTTATGAAGATGGTTTTGAAACTAGATTCTTAATTTTGCGTGTATGACAATATTTATATTTGTTTATAGTAATATTTGCTGAAGATGCAAATAAAACGGTGTGACCAACATGATTTGTCCAAAAAATGAAATAGAAGGGGTTGCACTTTAAGTAATGAATGATGATGTATGGATTAAAACGCCAAATACAAACGAACGTTTGGAGCATCCCCTGCGAAATTTTTCTTGACACTTCTTTTTTATCATTTCTTATAATATCTTTGGTTAACAAAAAAAAAAATAATAATAATCTCAGCTTTCTGAAAAAGAGTTGGGGGTAGTTCTTCCAAAAAATGATAACGCGTGATAAGAAATAAATGTTACATAACCTATAAAATCTGTAATACTACAGATAGTACCAATATCGATTTTACCAAAAACCCGCCAAGAAAAATTTCGTATTTTAATATCAAAAACATTGCCTTTAGTTAGGTTCTTATCTGTATTGCAAATTGTAGTTAGACCTTTATCAATTATCTATACACTGTGCACACACGTGTATACACTATACACGTTAAATTATATAATGTTAAATTCATAATAAATTACATTATATTATAGTAT